ATTGTTGGAATGGTATGCACACTCTCTCCCTGGAGGAATGCATCCTGTTTACCCAATTCTGAAAGAATTAGGCGCAGGTTGGCAAGAACCAAGGCTTAGGGACCCCAGAGTGTGTGTTGGGGTACTGCTGGAGTCTAACCAGCTCAAACTGCATAGCTTACCATTGATATTGCTGTCCGGCCACTGTTTGTCCAGCTAAGACCACCTTACCCGTTAGGGCTTTGGCATGCAGGGTTAACAGGTGCTCTATGGGATGACTCCCTGCCCCCAGTGACCGATCTGCCCTTCCAGGTCCTGCCAATAAGACAGGCTGGCTGTGCTGTCATCAGCAGTGCCCTGGAAAACTGCGGACCCGCCTGGCTCAGGAACCGGACAACCGAGACCGCCACTGTCTTGATTCCGACATTCCATTGCCAGGCATGTCACCTTGGAGTCAATTCTGCTCCAATGAGACCCTGCTTAAAAGGCAACTTGGGTAACTGACTTCTCCTAGATTCAGGCAGCAGTGACAAAAGTGGTTGAAAACATGTTTTCTGGTTCTTGAATATAATCTTTTCAGAATTGAATACTCTAAGCAACCATCAAGGCAAGCAGGCTGCAACTATCAAACCATGATTGAAATCTGAGGCTGAGACTACTGCAAACTCAATTTAAAGGATTACCGGAGCCAGAGAGCAGTCCCAGGCTTCTCCCAATAAGGACAAGCAAGACAGCGGCATATTGAAATGTTGCCCAATAGCTCAGCCGTAAACAGTAACTATTTATGTCAAGACATAAGCTGCACATACAATCTTCCTTTCCGTGGGGAAGTACGAGTCTCCTTGGCATCTCCTCCTGAATGCACACAGATCAGAAATATAATATGGAGGAACCCAATGGGGACTTTGATCATCGAGTCTCTAACAAATCCCTAAAACTAGTCTAACATAAATCCCTAAAAACGTTGGTAGGGGAAAAGAACATTTCTGCAGCAGTCACAGAAGCACCAGATTTCAGGGCTCTCTTCAAGGTTACCAAGAGGCAACACTTAAATACTTAAAAAATGCAAGAGTAAAGAGATTCAGCCATTTTTAAAGAAAAAATTAAATCTTACACTCTTGCTCCATACCATCGCACTTTTATTTTATTTCAAAAAGAAACATTCCACCATTACATTTGCTTTTGCAAATAAACTAACTCAGAAATTTCAACATTGAATCACAACCACATCAAGTACCAAGGAATCTGCTGCTTTCGGAGCTGAAGGTCACCAGAAAGCCTCTATCTCAGCTGTAGTTCGCTGATCCAAGTACACTACAAATCTGTTTCCAATGGACCAAATCAGTTCCCATTCATTCCCATTATATAAAAAAAATCTTACTCCAGGCACTATACTCAACATGCAGCCAGTTACTGTGGTTAATGTACATATCGTAATAATTGCCACCAATCATCCTCTGACTAATTTTAACTGCAAGACAACAGCTACGTAAATACATTTGATCTTTTACATGTGGATTCATTAGAAAAGGGGTGCAGAATTGTAAACGCCCGAGGACAAGTAGTCATAGAACCAAGTAGTCATTGATTGTATCACACACACAATAAAACCCTGGCTCAATTGATGACATTAGAGGACCCAGGACATTATTCAGATGGTAGTTTGAAAAAAGAAAAGCAATACAAGTTTCAATAATATTCTGGGTGGCAATGTTAAGGCCTTTTCTAAAAAATACATGTCCTGTTTGCTTAAAAACTAGAGGGGAAAAGCTTTGGAGTAAGTTACAATACTGTAGTAATAAGCTACGTGAAGCAGTCCAGATCCTGCTGAGTGGAGGCAGCGGACAGTTTGGTAGGGGTTTAGGAGGTCACAGAGGTGACAAGGCGTGAGGAGGGCTTTGAAGGCGAGGACCAGGATCTTGAACTGTATCCTCTGAATCATGGGGAGCCAGGCGAGGACGGGGCTGATAGGGTCATGGAGCCTGGTGCAGGAGGGGACATCGGCTGCAGAGTCCTGAATGATCTGCAGCCTGTGGAGGGAGGAGTTGGGGAGGCCAACAAGCAGGGAGTTTGCGTAGTCGAGGCTGGATATGATGAACACATGGATGTGATGAATGCATGGTCTCGGTGGCCTGTGGTGAGAGACAGTGGGGGAGCTGGGCAATATTGCCCAGCTAAGGTGGGGAAAGGCGGAGCGGGTCATGGCACACATGATACATCATTGGAGGGACCTCACGTCCTTCCAGTTTCAATCTTATAAGTAACCTTTACAGGATTTTATTTTGGAAGCAGGAGGGGAGAAGTGAATATTGAGTGTACACGGTTCATTCCCTGGGGCTCTTGCACACAGAAAAAAAAAGCCCAGATTTTATAGGGGAAGTCAGGACCCCTGCAAATATAATTACAAACAGATTGTTATTTCCCCCACCTGGCTGATTTGTAAATTTAAAAAAGTGCTGACAACAGAAATTTTGTAGACTCCTGTGCAATGGGCCACAAGGACCTCAGAGTGACCGACCTATTGACTTTTCTGCCTTGGCCCAGCAGACAGAAGTGCTCAGATGAATTTAGCACATACATTGCGTGGCTTCTGTGACTTTTCCAAAAATCTGCATCTCCAATGATAACTGGACTAGTTTTCTTACTTAAAAATAATGAGGTCTAAATGATAAAATCTTAAGTTATCTTTGAGGTTTCAGTTGGCAAGACGCGATACCAAATTAGGCACTGAAGAGTTTCAGAGCAATAAACTTGTCAAATATATTTGGTCACTACACCAAATATAGCACACACGCACACACACACAGCATTAAGGAAATAGTTCTGGTTACAAGGTTACATAGTATAGCAAGCATCACACCACTGTGAAAATCTCAACCAATCAATTCAACACAAGATGTGTAAAACCCATCATCACAGAGCCCCACTTGCTAGTCAGAGGTCTGGTGGGATAAACCATTGCCTATGGACTGGAGCCCAGAGAGGTATAGCTTTGAATATGCAAAAAAAGAGCCAACTGATCATACCAAATCTTCTAAACGGTTTTTCAAAACAAGATGAGTGAGTTTGACTGAATGACTACCATCCTGGATTATTCACCTCAGCAACATCAGGCCAATCAGAAGGAACTATCAGTAACTACCAGCAGATCACATTCAGCTTCATTGGGGGGGGGGGGGGGGGGGAGAGAAGAGAAAGAGGAGTAGAAAGAAAAAAACTGCAGTGTACAGTAAAAGGTTCTCTAATTAGGGGAAGTGGGTGCACGAAGCAGTAAAGCATTGGCTTCCTGTTTGTTGTAGCTTCTGAAATATATTTGGTATTATCAGAGAAGGGTGCGTGAAATGTTGCATGCAGAGAACTACATGAAATTAGGTTGAATGGAGGTTATGAAAATATTCCAAGAGTCAAAGCACAACTGAGCAAGAAGGCTTACTCAAAGAAAGTATAAAGTAGTTTAACCAAGATTTCCCCCATTTGTACCACCTATGTTCAAGATCAGGGTACACCAGGAAGGAGTGCCAAGCAGATTTACAAAGATATCAGGGATGAATGGTTTTACCTATGAGCAGAGACTGGAAGAATTTGGTTCATTTTCACTGTAATAGAGGAGAAACCCATTAGAGGTCTTTAAACTTATGAGGGATTTTAAATAGAGAAAATTCAACTATTCAGCGACTAGATGGCATCAATTTAAGATGGTTACCAAAGAAGCAAAGGAAGGGGTGTTAGGATCTGGAATGTCCTGTTGGGAGCTGTTTCAAGGCAGGAACCATATTAACTTTCAAGAGGGAACTAGATTGGAGAGTAATTTGATGGGATATTGTGGAAAGGCAGATAAATGGAACTTAGATACTTAAGGTTTGCTTACAAAATAAAATTCACACTGATAGCAATCCTTTCATTTAACAGTCAGTTTGGGCTGTCCGTTAAAAAAAACAATAATATGAACGAAATAATAAACTAATGGCCTTTTCTTTCTGAATTTTGCAATGGAATCTTCAATATTCACTTTAACTGGATCTTGGTTTAAGGTCTAATCTGAAGGACGTCATCCCAGATAATGCAGCACCCCTCAGCACTGGAGTGTCAGCCTAGACTGAGCTCAAAGTCCAGATGTGGGTCTTAAACCAACAACTTTCTGACTCAGAGGTGAGAGTGCTGTTAAATGAGCCAGACCAACACTTGTGGAGTCCTGTAGCTCAGTGGTTAGCAAGCGAGAAACTTGCGTTCAATTCCCGGCAGGGTGAAACCTTGGGCAAGTTTCTTTACTCCACACGCCTGATAATAATCCCTCAAGAAAAAAAAATTGGTCATTTCGATCCATGACTGTTTGTGGGACACTGCTGCGTCGCCCACAAATATACAGTCAATTCACTTTACAGTCTATTCTGTGAAGTGCTTTGAGATGTCTAGAAGATGTGAAAAGCACTATATCAAAATGCAAGGATTATTATTATACTAGTCGCAATACTAGTTAGTAGTATTACCCTCTGGCTAAGATTAAATAGGGTCATCAGAGATCTGGAATTACTCAGATGATCACTGGACCGAGTTGGATTGGATTACAATTTCAGGTAAGTGGCATTTCTTTTAAAATGGGCCTGTCCACCCAACCCAGTGTTGCAGAATAGTTCAAATGCGAGGTAAAATGTGCTTGCAGGAGAGTTACTATGAATCAATTGTGGATTCAGCATCCTGCCAGCTTTCGTGTTTCAGATACTGAGAACCAATGTAACCGATTAGGTAACATACTTTTGGAATCTATTTCTACCCCATAGTGTCTTGTACACTTACGTGAATGCTTAATTTTCAAAAGGCACACAATTAGATTTATTGCTCTGGCAGGTTAACTTTTATATTTAAAGTTTACAAAAAAGAGTGATGTATTTCTCCAAAGATGGAGTACTCCATTTTAAGCTTCAATTACTAAAATAAATGTCTTCTCTTCAAACCCTAATGCAGCTCAACATTAGTTCACCCAATGCTTGGCAAGCTGGTCTCTGGTGCTGGGACACACCTACCTGGGTCATCTTGAAGAAGTCTAGGGCAGGTCTAGCCCACCGGACATCCTCATCATGCCTGCGTTTGATACCACATTTGCGTTCGTTTAGATCACAGGGCTGGGAGTGGCTGCGCAGCAGGCCCTGCTGCCGCCGGTTCATCTCTGGAGTGGAGGACGGGGTACTTTTTGCTGACATTAGACATCTTGTTGCCTCATGGATGTGCACAGGTGACAGTGAAAAGCGCCTTTGAGGGAGGAACTCGCACTGCTCGGGCAAGATGCACTGGATCCCCAAGAACGTTCTCTCAGCAGCTTCTGTAGAATGGTGGCCAGGTGATAACGTCCAAGGCAATGGGGATTCGGGAGACGCAGTGAGGCTGGAGAAGGTGAAGCTGCCGTTAGAGTGAAGGCTGGAGAGAGGTGGCTGCGGCAGGCCAAGATTGGATGGTCGCTGTGTCGGGGCGCAGAGCTGTGCACTTGCAGTGCCGCCACTATTGCAGCGGCGTTTGACAGGGATCCACACCTTTGAGCTGCTTGGCTTCCATAGAGACCGGCAGTGGGACAGGTCCTCTGGCACGGAAAGCGAGCGACAGTGCCGTTTAGTTGGTGGAGCTGGGAGTAAGGCAGAACTCTCAAAGAAGTGCAAGTCATTCAGATTTCCCACAGAAGTACTAGTCACCTGCCTTGTCCATGAGGATTTGCTCTGTCTGGAGGGCTCAATGCCATTTAGGTTGTAGCTGACAAGTGAAGGAAACCCCATTTTCACTGGAAGTTCTGCACGCGAATTTAGTACATTCCACTTCCTTTCCTCTGCAAGCAGATGCAGGAGACAGAAGACAATTTTATTGATCATTACCAACCACAAGTTGCATTTATATCCCACACCTCATGTTAAAAAGAAACTTCTTAAAGTGCTTTTCAATATAAAATTAGAAAATAAGCAATACAACAACAACAACAAGATTACATTTATATAACTCCTTTCAAGTCGGGAGGGCATCCCAAGGAACTAGACAGTGTACAGCATTTCAGACCCGAACTGGGGGTCAGCGGGAGAAGGGAGGGGAGGGGAAGGGGGGTGACCAATGGCATTGTCGAAGAGGAGAGTTTTGAGGTGGGACTTGAAGGAGGCTAAGGAGGGGGCGAGGCCGAGTGATTGGGAGATGGAGTTCCAGAGAGTGGGGGCCGAGTGGCTGAAGGCTCTCCCGCCAATGGTGGGACAGATGGGTCAGGGGACGTGGAGCAGCCCGGAGCCGGCTGAGCGGAGGGAGCGGGCGGGTTGGTAGGGGGTTAGGTCACAGAGCTAGGGTGGGGCGAGACCATTAAGGGCTTTGTAGGTGAGGACCAGGATCTTGAACTGGATCCTCTGAAGGATAGGGAGCCAATGGAGTTGTGCGAGAATGGGGGAGATGGGGTCACAGAGTTTGGTGCAGAAGAGGACACGGGCTGCAGAGTTCTGGATTATCTGCAGTCTGTGGAGGGAGGAGTTGGGAAGGCCAACAAGCAGGGGGTTTGCATAGTCGAGCCTGGAGGTGATGAAGGCATGAATAAGAGTTTCAGTGGCCTGAGGGGTGAGGTAGTGGCGGAGTCAGGCGATGTTACGGAGGTGAGGGAAGGCAGAGCGGGTCATGGCTTGGATGTGGGGAAGAAAAGACAGTTGGGGGTCGAACAAGACACCCAGGTTCCTGACTGGCTGGTGAGTTGAAGTGTGCAACCATGGAGGTTGATGCTCCCAGAGCCTGAGGTGCTGAGGCGCTGGCGCGAGCCAATCAGGAGGGCCTCAGTCTTGTTCACATTCAACTGTATTATGACAAACTCAGCAGCTGCTTTGTGCAGGCAACATCCCTCAATGAAAAATAGCCAATTGTTCATCTGCATGGGAAAGGGGGCAAAAAATGTTAGGTATGGCAGCTGAAAACACGGTGGCAGAGATTCCCACTGGACAGACAGAATCAATCAAAATAGGAAAAATTAATCTGCCGAAGCGCAAAAAAAAGTTTGGTATAAAAATAAACATACTCAGCCTTGGTGCTTGAACGTTTAAGATAGATTAAGTATTACATTACCAGTTAGAAGCATTTTGTCTTCCAAGATATAGATCAGAACATCCTGAAGCATTTACACAAAATGGATTCTTAAAGAAGGCATGCAATCTCTTGACTTGTATTCCCTTCATCTTCGCACAGGCACAAAGTAAATAAATCCAGGCTAACGTCACTGGTGTGGTCTATTTCAGGAACCACACACACACAATTAACAGGTAACAATAACCGCAAGTCTGGTGAAATTCTCTCGAGTATTACGATTTACATAAATCAGAAGGCCACTCAGCCCATCAGAGCTATGCTGGTGCCAGCTCCTGCACTAAGCCATCACTTCCTTCTTTCCTATTCACATTGTCTAATAGTAATCCTGATCCCTGGCTGTGCAGTGTCTTGGGACGTACTCCAGATGTGAAAGGCGCTTTTCAAATGCAATTTTGCTGTTGTAGTGTGTCCTTTTAGCATAGAAATACACAACACAATAGGTAGCCATTTGGTCTTTTTGCATCTGCCTTTGCTCCTCCAAAAAAGGCATCCATCCTAATCCCAATTCCCTCATCGTTTTACATGATTTTGATGTCCTTTCTGTAATAGGGTGACCAGAAATGAACTCAGTAAGTTGAATATAGCTATAAACTGAAATACAAAATAACTCAGTCACAGATGCTGATAATATAGTAGTAGAGAAGAACCGTAAAATTATAACTGGAAACTACCTAAGAGAGCACACTGGTGAACGGTTTAAAAACTAGGCTTTTTCGGACCCTACAACCCTTCCCAAGATATAATTAAAAAGGTAATTAGTTCAGAAAAATAATAATTTGTTTTAGTGCAGCAGTGAAAGAGATCAGTCACATGGAGAATCTATCTGGAGCAAGTGAACACAAGTTTAGAAACTGGTTGATCCTGAAAGGAAAGTGCTCCACAATAAGGCGTTTCTTTTAACTACTGCAGCATTATTTTCCCGATGGCCCAGTTCATAAAAATATAACACAATAGTCCAAATTCTGGGCTGTACAGTTAACTTACAAACTACTGTACGATACAATTACAGTAGACTCAAGTGATCTATATTCTTCTGAAACCATCTTAACCTAACAATTATAACTAATAAGCCTGGGATCAGCACGTTGTTATTTACTAGCACAAGTTGTACCTAATAGTAAACCTGGCTAATAGCTAGTTTGAGTAACAAGAGGTGCCACATGTAGCAACATCCTAATGGCCTGTGCAAGAAAGATAAACTGGGCATGTATTTGTTAAAACCAAATTTTGGAAAACGAGCTAAGTCAGCATGAAGGAATTGATTTTTTTGTACCTCTGATCAAGCACTCCCAGATCAGCTACTGCACAGGTTATATGCCGAGCAAAGTTCAGTCTAAATCGGTCCCAAGCCATAGAAGTGCACCTACTACATAACAGCATCAATTTACCAAATTTACAATTGGTAAATTAAGTGAAGTACTAAATGCAAGTAATGCCATTTTAGCAATAAGTATCCTCAAAATATTTAATTTTAGAAAAGTTAATTTTCATCCCATCAACAACAACAAGATTCCATTTATTGAGCGCCTTTCACGCCGGGAGGACGTCCCAAGGCGCTGTACAGTTGGGTCAGGACCCGAGCAGTGGGGAAATGGTCAGGGTGAGGGGAGGGAAGGGAGGGAGCGAGGAGGGGGTAGAGATTCGAGAGGGGAGCTGAAGGCACGGTCAAAGAGAAAGGTCTTGAGTCTAGCCTGGATCTGAATTCATAATCCAAAAGGGCTAGCGTTTTAACCCACTCAGTATTCTTCAAAGATTCTGTATTCTTACTATCAAATGCTTTATCCTAACAAAAGAACATTGAAAGAATTGCCAATGGAACCAAACTTATCCCATCTATATGAAGGTGTCCTTCTGACTGGTATACTTCCAAATTTTAATATCTAAATTATCCAATTTTGCAATCCAAATGCAGCCTCTGAACAGGTAGTTATTGGCAACAGTAAACCTGGGTGTGGGGATTACGCAATAAAAATGGATCACATTACTGCATTCACAGAATGTCAGCAGTTGTCATTGAAGGCTTCTAGATGCTGATAAGGCAATGACTGATTTTCCATAATCAGCTACCATCAATTTCACGTACAGACTTGATGCTGGAAAACTTCCAAACAGGGCAGGTCTAGACTAGCTGAAATTCAGTGGCCCAGCAATGAGTAGTTACTACATAGGCTAAGGTTTTCTTTGGTCAGCTAGGTGTCTAAAACATGTGAAGACCCTCCATAACAATAACTTGGATTTATTTAGCGCCTCCATGCCGGACGGCGTCTCATAGAGCTTTACAGTGTAGGATCCCGGGACCGAGCCGGGAGAGGGGTGGGAAGGTGACCAAAGGCGCGGTCGAAAAGAAAGGTCTTCAGCAGAGACCTGAAAATGGGAAGGGAGTGAGGAAGGCAGTTCCAGAGCCTCGGGCATAGTGGCTGAAGGCACGGCCACCGAGGGTGGAGCGGAGGACTCAGGGGATGAGGAGGAGGCCAGACCCGGAGGAACAAAGGCAATGTGCTGAGGAGAGAGGAGGTCAGAGAGGTAGGGGAGTGCAGGGACGTGAATACGAGGGTGAGGATCTTGAAATCCTTAAGAGTAAGCAAACCAGACAAAGTTCCACAAATGTATGCCACCTGTGCATGCAAAGTTGTACACTAGTAATGTTTGCATTTGATTTGGTAGCTTATCACATTGAGACATCTAAAAGTGCTTCCAAGATGTAAAGTGGATTGACTGTATTTGGTGGCCAATGAGTTTCCAGTGTCTGGAATACATTGCACTATCCATGAAGTGGCACACCTGCTTAATCATTCGAGGAGTATTAGGCACAGGTTAATGCCAGCCAAAGCTGAGGAATCCCAGAATACCAAGGAGACGCTACCCTGCGTGGAGGGTGCTATATAAGTGCCAGTTGTTGTTGTCGTCGCAACTCGTCTGCCCCTCAGGGTGTTGTCCATGAGCCAGCTTAGCTTGTCTGTCATTAGTAGTGTTTTGGAGTACTTCACACATGCCTGGCTCAGGAACTGGATTACTGAAACGTCACAGAGAGTTGATTCAATTCCAACATTCAACTCAGCCAGCTCCAAGGAGACCCAGCTTACCTACCTCTTTGCTCCCACCTCCATGGGCCAAGCAATCAATGCCTTAGTCACTGCAGTTATCCCTTTACATATAGCTCTTGTACTTAAGCAAAATTTACTCTGCTTTAGTAACACTTCACTAGTCAAGACTATTGCTCCAAACCCTGACCTTGACATGCAATTTGAGTCTCTATTATTTATTTCTACTCACTGGAGGACGAGAGTGGTTTGAGGTGAAGGCTATTTTTATGCAGAGTTGCTCGGGAACTAACAAACAATACTCTTTCTATGATCAGCAAGACCAAATGGAAAGAGACCATACTTGTGGTTCCTATCAGCTGAGGTTTCTTCACTGATGACACAGCACAGAATGCAGAAGGCAGATACGAGTCACATGCCCAGTAGTCACGCTGCTTTCAGTGAGGTACCATTTCCACATCCTCAAACACTGAAATAGATTTAATTTTGCAACTCATAGCATGAGCATTTAAGTTAGTATTGAATGGTTCAGACAAACAGAATATGTCAGATATGAAACGTTCTGGTTGGTCCTCAGCACTAACAAGCATAGTTCTGTGTTTTCGGATCCTGGCTCTTCTTCCTGCAGGGACTAGAATTTGAAGGAACCCAAGTTTCTCTTGGATACAGGAACCAGACCCCC